GCACTAGGCATGCCTCCCACTCGCTCAGCAACTCCAGCAGAAAGCATGCATCTCTTTTCCCTAAAGTCCCTGTTTCATCAAAAGTCCCAGAACTGAGTCCCACCAGCTCTGATCAGGATGCATGCCCTTCTCTGAACTAACATCTGTCCTGAAGGAGATGGGATATTCTGATCTGTCGGGCCTTCGTCACATGTCCTTCTCTGGAACTGGTGTGGAGACAGGAGGGACTGAGAGTAGGGAATGGATGGCTTCATCAGGAACGCAGGAGGAGCGGGTTACAAGGAGGCTGTGTTAGTCAAGGGAAGCCACCTGTCACAATAAACAACCCCCATGCCTGCCACCCAACACAGTAAAATGGGAAATTCTGTTCCTATTGTTGGCAGGCACAGAGCTGGTAGGGACTCTGCCACCCTCAAGAGGGGCTCCCAAGGACACCCTAGGTGATGACATTCAGCAGACAGGCTGGGGGATAAAGCAATGATCGTGTTTTTTCCGATGCAGTCCTGAGAGGGGAGCACGTGATTCTGTTGGCCAGAATCCCACGCCCCAGCCTGGGAAGAGGGGAGACTGGAGCTAGGGGGGTGTGGGAGGAAGAAGGAGCAGTGTCCACTGCAAAAGGGGAAACGAATGGGTGCTGGGGAGGCAACGCAGGGTCCCCCTGTGCTTTCTACAGCTGAACTCCTTTGGTCCTCTTGGTCAAGCATTCCCTGCATGTAGAGTGTTGGCCTTGGCTGTCCAGCAGGGGTCTCCTTTATGATGTCCTGGACTCCAGCCTCCCCTCTGGCTCTTGCTGCACCCCTACCCCAATCTCCTTCTGATCCTGAAGTGCTGATTGGCTCAGGGCCTCCGGGTCAGCTGATGAGCCCACAGGTGCTCTGAGGACAGGCAAGGGCCACAGAGGGTGAGAGGGGACAGGTCTGGCCCAGAGACTGGCCAGAACTGCAGGCCAGCCTCCTTAATCCGTTTCAGGTGTCCTTTTCCTTGACTGAAGCATTTTTTTTTTCTCCTTAATCGTAGTTCAGGTTGAACAGTGACCGGGAAGTGAAGCTGACCCATTACTTATAAACAAATAGCATCCTGCTAGCTGAAGGCTGGGGCTGGGAACACCTTGGCCAGCAGCCGCTAATCCTTCCCTTGCTCTCTCATTCATTCACCGGAGTGCTTACTGTGTGCCTGGCACTGTGCTGGGTGTTAAGGAGAAAAAGGCTATCTGAGAAGTAGAAGTTATTGGACTCGATATAGTCTAACGCAACCAGGCCTTTGTAAGTTGAATAACCGGAGACAAGTTGCTTCTAAGGCTACCTGAAGTTGAGTCTTCCAACGTGGTGTGGAGACATCAGGGATTTTAGATGGGGCATGAACAACATATTTGTTCCAAAGACCAGGCACCTGGTCTCCTTACTCCAGATCTGTTTTAGGAGACTTCTGGATAGAGTGATAATAATCAAAATCGCAGTAACCACCACTTACTCTGTACCTTGGGCACTGTGCTAAATAAATGATCTAAATACAAAGCCTCACTTCATTCTTCCAACCACCCAAGATGTCACCTTACCAACTCCCTGGAGTCGTATAGCCATCAAGTGGCAGTGATGGGACTGGCACTCAGCTCGTCTGAACCCAGCCTGGGTTTGGCTGCCTGCGTGTTAAAACAGACTACATCTGTCCAGATGTCCTCCCACCACCCACCCGGAGCGCAACCCCAGCCAGTGTGTCTGGAGGGTGGCTGGTCATTGCCAGGAGCGGCTCCGCATTTGGAGAGTCAGCTCCGTGTGGCCTGGACGAGCCCAGAGAGCAACAGGGCCCAGTCGTGAGGCTTTGAAGCAGAACAGAGCCTGGGAACCCTGGCCTCAGGGCTGACCTCCTTAGGAAGCCACCCGTCTGAACAGGGCGTCTGAGGACAGTTCTCCCTCAGCATCCCCGGGCAGAAGCTTGGCAGAGGAAACGCTCCTCCACCCACTTGGTTTCCTAGCCCACGATGGCTCTTCCAGCTGGCCGTTCATTCAGTTATTCATTCAGCAAATGATTACCGAGCACCAACTCTCCACCCTGCTGAGGACCAAGTACTGAAGGAAGCGGGAAATGAAGGTGATCAGTAGGAGAGAGAAGACGCTGACATTGAAAGAGTAGGTCAGGGATGGGGTTGTGGCTCAGTGGCAGAGCGCTTGCCTGGCATGCGTGAGGCACTGGGTTCAATTCTCAGCACCACATATAAATAAATAAATAAAATAAAGGTCCATCAACAACTAAAAAAAAAAAGTAGGTCAAGGTAGAAGGTCATGAGGGCCATGGGAAAAGCCACAGGGAGAGACCACCCCCAGATTTGGCAGGAGTGCGAGAGGGGTGTGCATTAAAGCAAGTTTCCAGGAGGTGGACCTGGACTTTGAGGGAAGGGTAGGATTGAAAATGTATAGCTAAAGGAAAGGGCTCCAGGTAGTGGGAACAGCATGTGCTAAGGCCCGGAGATAGGGAGATGGTGATATATAGCAATAAGGGAGCCATTCTGGAGGCAGAGGGCAGGGAAAGGGTGGGAGATGAACTGGGTGGAGAGCCAGGATGGTTGGTAGGTGGGCCAGCTGACTGTGCTGGGGCATGCTACAACAGTTGCAGTCCAGTCCCTCCAAAGTGAAGAGACAGAGATAGGTCCCACACGTCCCAGGAGAGTCTTGACCTCCGTGCTGTGGATGGCTGGATGCATGCCTCTTGCTCCCGCTGCCTTGTGTGAGCTCACCTTACATGCTCCAGCGGTCATCTCCAACAGCCAACAGACCTCAGAGCCTCAGGGCTGGAAGGGAATTTACAAAGCATCCATCCCGTGATTTAAAAAAAGAAAAAATCTTTTTTCTTTTCCAAATCACAGAATCCCCAAGCAGAAAACGGACTGCTCTAGTTAAAGCTGGGTGGGGGAGCCTTCCCATTCAATCTCCCGGAGGCTCCCCACAGGAGCTCCTGGGAAATCTAGAACTCAAGGAGTGTGGGTTGAAAACCACTGGTCTAGCCTACTCCCAATCTCATTCCATGGGGAGGAAGGAAAGCCAGGAGGAGACACAGGGGTGCCAGGCCCCCTGATTGCTACTTTGGGGCTCTTTTCTGCCCTGTGTCTAGGTTGGAGGAGAAAGCCCGAGTGCAATCAAGGATGGGATGTGCGTGGCTCCCCTACACCCCTCCCTGTGGCCTGCTGGCTTGTCTCACTGCAGCCCCCTGGAGGAGCGCTGTGGGGCCAGGTTCTCTTTCCACTCTACACAATAAGAATGGAGACGTGGCCAGCAAAATGACTTACAGACATTTTAATTCCAGGCCTGGTAAGTGTAGCTTGAGTGAGGGAGGGAGAGGCTGGGTGTGCGTGCATGCACGCGTGTCTGTGTTGGAGGCCGCAGAGGAGAAAAGTGAAGTAGCAGGGCAGAGGCTGGGCACGGGTTTGTGAGTTATTATGATTATTTTGGGTACTGAGCCACACCTCCAGCCCTATTTTGTATTTTATTTAGAGACAGGGTCTCACTGAGTTGCTTAGCGCCTTGCCTTTGCTGAGGCTGGCTTTGAACTTGTGATCCTCCTGCCTCAGCCTCCCAAGCCTCTGGGATTATAGGCATGTGCCACTGTGCCCAGCAATTCTGTGAATGATTATCAGCAACTACCCATTTAATCTACACACTTCATTCAAGAAAGTGAGACCTGGCAGAGAGGACTTGGGGGCTTAGCATGGTGCTTGCTGCAGGCAGGTGCTTTAGTAAATATGGGCTGCGTGCATCTGCATGGGCCATCTTGGTCAATCCAAGAGGCTGCCTTGCAGCCTGTGGTCCTCTCCAGGTCTGACACTTACTTCTCCTTCTGCAAGTGGGGAAAACATCAGAAAAGCCTCGGCAAAACCCCAAGGGAAACAATGGGCATCCTTGCCAAGTGGGTCCTTGTCACCCCTGATGTAGTCTGCCCCTGCTTTCCTCTTCAAAGCCCCCTGACCCTGAGAGGGTTCCACTGGAGTGAGGTGACAGTGGTACCCTCTGTCCTGGCAGCTCCGGGAAACAGAATCATTCTGATCACTGGTGATGGCAGAGACCACCCGTGTGGTTCACCCTGGGCTCAGTGCCCAGCTCAGCACAGGAATAAAGAAGATATCCAAGCTCAAGAGTCACTCCATCACAAAGGTCTGCACAGATTTCTCCAGTCCTCTCAAAAGAAAACTGGGCTGCCAACCCTCCTCCATAACCCTCCTCTCATTCCTGAAGGGACACACAGTCTATACCACATATTGTGACATACACACGAAACTTCTTGAAAACACAAGGCTCATAAGAAGCCCTCACTCAGCTCAGGGCCCCCTCCTGCCAAATGTCCCAGAGACACTTGCGTCTGAGTGCCCAGTGTACAGACATTGTGGGAAGCCGAGACCGAGGAGGCTCCTCCAGGGCTTGGCTCAATGGGTTTCAGACACAGCTTATGCCTCTCCCCTGACATTAAAGGAACAGCTTCCTGACAGCAGCCCCCACCCCAAACCTGGCAGCTGGTTCCAGCCAGCTACAGGAGCTATGTCCTGGGTCTCTTCCTGCCCTGCTGGGTCCTGAGGACCACCTCAGCCCCTGCGGCCTGGCATCAAACACAAGACAGGAGGGATGACAGGGCTGAAAAAGCAGATCCACTTTATTTACAATGATCAGTTGGTAACACAGATCTTTGGGCTTTTTTGTGGCCCTGTAGAGACACCTCCCTGTGTTGGGGTAGCACACTCTCCTTCTTCAGCCTGCCATGTGAATCCAGCTGCAGTCAGGACTACTTGCCCAGAGCCTTGACTTGGGGCATTTCTCCTCCAGCATCTGCATCCCCACACACCAGCCAATGGTTCTTCTTACCTCCTTTGGAGGCCCCATCTTTGGTCCTGGCTGTTGGCACCTAGTGGGGGACCTTACTTATCTGTCTGTAGATGGAGTGTGGAATCCTTAGGGGTGCCAAGGCACAAGCTCTGGCAGCTGCCTGGTGCAGAGCTGTTACCAGCCCAGTCTGTCTTCTCCAGAGGCAGAGCAGTGAAGTCCCAGGAGTCCTCCAAGGCATAGAAAGGCCCCACACAAGGCAGAGAATTCTTCCTCGTTAGTTTGACCTTCAGACGCTGTGCCCATTATGGGCCTGGCCTCAGTTTCCCCCAGTCACTCCATTCTTTCCCTACAAGAATGCCTCTCCAGGATGGTTCTTACCACGGGGAAAAAGACTAGAGGGACCCAGGGCAGGGCCACTGCCTCCACCCTGGTCAGGGTCCAAACCCACCATCCATGGTTTCTGAAAATTTCTCTCCCTTCTCCTGAGAGGATGTTTTGGCTGGAAGCAGGGAGGTCTGTGGGCACAGACTCGGTGTAAAGCGCAAGGGCAGTTCCCCAACGGAGGGCCCAGGAAACTCTGGGTTTGCAGGGAAGTGAACACGCCACCCCCCCAAAAAAAATAACCCAGGGCATATCAGGTGTCACCCTGAGCCAGGAAGAGGGGCGAGGCGACGACGAGACCACAAGGGCGGCAGGGCCAGGGACCAGCGGGGAGCCGAAGCGGGCAGGGCCGGGGTTGGAGGCAGTAAGTCTGGCGGCCCGGTGTGGGGCGGCGAGTCCTGCCCCTGGGCTCTCAGCGCGCCTGGCCCGCGCGCTCCCTGGGGCCGGCCTTCCAGCGGCGGGGCTGCGCGGGCGGCGGAGGCGCCGGGGCGCCCCGCAGGCTGCACGTCCTCAGCTCCCGGGCCAGGCTGAGCACCTCGGGCCGCTCGCGTTGGGGGGCTCCGGCCTCGCCCGACTCCGCGTCCTCCTCCTCCTCTTCGTCCTCCTCCTGGATGCTGCTGAGGCGCGGCGCCCCGCGGCAGCGCTCCGTCGGCGGCGGCCGGTAGGCGCACTTGGCGTTGAGCAGGCGGCGTAGTGGGGCGCGGGGCACCGAGGCGGCGGCGCCCCCTGCGCGGAGGTGCTGCTGGCGCACGTGGCGCGCGTCGCTTTGGCGTTGCAGCCGCTTGAAGTCGCTGAAGGCCGCCAGCGCGGTCTGGCGGAGCAGGCGGGCCAGGGCGCGCGCCTTGTGCGCCCGCGCCAGCAGCACGGCGTGGCAGCGCAGCACCACGGCCTTGTGGCGCGCCTGGTGGCGGTAGACCCAGGCGAAGACACGCGGGTGGCGCCCGTCCGCCGTGCAGTAGGTGATGCGCGGCAGCAGGTAGGCGTGCGTCGGCCTGCGGCCCCCCGATCCCCCTGCGGCGCTGCGCTCGCACGGCTGCATGCGGATGCCGTGCGGCCCCAGCGTCAGCTTCATCTTGGTGCCCCCGCCCGGCCCGCAGCGCGCCCAGATCTTGCCCACCGCGTCGTCTGTGCAGCCGTCGCCCTTGGCGTGCAGGGTGACGGCGTTACCCAGGTACCACACCGTATAGGTCGGGTCCTCCCGGTTGAGCTCCACTTTCTGGCGCCGGCTGCGGAACACGCGGCCCAGGCGCTCCAGCGGCCAGTCGGGCAGCAGGTCCGGGCAGGAGCGCAGGAAGCTGGAGAGGAGAGACGTGTAGGCGAGCCCCGGGCTCAGGCTCTTCGTTTTGCACTTGGCCTCGTCCTCCACCAGCACGAATTTGTTTCGCCTCCAGGGCAGCATCGCGGCGCAGGGGGCTGGAGGCGCAGGGAGCTCACCAGCGTCCTGTCCAGCGACCCAGGGAAGGAAAAGCGCCCAGAAGCCCACCGCCCTGTAGTCGCGAAAAGCTGGGCGGCGCCAGAGACAGCCGGTGCCCAAGATGCCCAGTGCCAGGCGGGGCTAGTTTCGCAGATGCCCGTTGCCCAGCCGGGCTGGCCGCCGAGATGCCCGGGCGGCGGCGTGCGGCCGGGAATAGCGTCCCCCGGGAATGGCTCCAGCCGTCTGGGAAGCAAGGAGGGGCAGGGACTGGTATTGGCGGACGCCCCCCAGGCCCGAATAAGAGGGGATTCCCGTGGTCCCTGCCGCCCAAATTGCGGAGGCAAGGGAGGTCGCCGGTGCCGGGGATGGCAGCTGCTCGGTGGGGTAGACCTAGAGCGCGGCTGCGGTGGGGACTCCTTCAGGCGTCGCGGCTCCACCTCCCCGGGCTGCCTACATCACCGGGCGGGACCGCTAGCTCTCTTGTCCCCTCCCCTCGCCCTCCCCTTTCCCTTCCCCCAGCACAAGCTCGCGCTGCCCGGGACCCGGCACAGGCGCGGCAGAAAGGGTTTAATCATTATTATGAGAGGGGTGAGGACAGAGGGGCGGTAAAGGATTAGGAATCCCTGGATGACTTTGCCGATGCAAATTCTCTGGCCTCTCTAGTGGGATCCTTGCCCCCTCCCCTCCGTGGCACATTCGGAGACCCCCTCTTTCTAGAATTCCTCCTGCTCCTCACCCACGGCAGGTCCCTATCCCCATCCCTGAGAATAGGATTTGGGTGGTTTTCTGATGGGATGGGTTCCTGATGGGGCCGGCCTTGTGCACTTTGCCTCCGGTCTGCACAGCACAAAGCCAGCAGAGGTGGCCGAGCAGTGCAGTGGAAAAGTACTGTCGCTTGGTGAAGCTTTCTCCCAGGTTCCTCCAAGGTCGTGGGCCAGGCTGCTGCACCGGAGCAGAGGCTGTCACTGCTCCAGTATCTGGTCGCCTGGACAGAAGCAGGGAAAGGGTACTCTTTGAGGGTGGGGGGAACCTTTCAGAACAATCCTGGGTCTGTGGGACTGGCAGATGAAATGTTCCCTCTGGTCAAAGTGCTGCCTCTGGGCTCTCTGAAGATTAAATAGATAAACTCCTACTTGTGAACTCCTTATTTGTTCCCAGGTGTTTAGCATTCATTATCTCATTTAATCCTCAGGACACCAAGGCTCAGTTAGTTGATTGGCCCAAGGTCACAGGGCTGGTAGTAAGTAGATCTAAGGCTCTATCTAGGTCCTGGGAACCCAAGAGCAGGCTCCCACCCTTCTATGAGTCCACTATATGGATGGGACATTGGCCATCTTCCCCTGGAACTCCCTAAGAGAAAGTGGTTGGCTCTTACTAGGGAGGGGCCCTAGTGTACTAAAAGACAGCTAGCTATCTCTGGGTGTGGGGACACTTTCCCCGCTTCCAGAATTTGTTAAGCCACAAGCTCCCTAGAATCCCAGGACTGGTCTGATGTGGGCTCTGTCATCCCACTGCCTTGTGGTCCCATGCAGTCAACACTCAAGCTCCTACTCTGGCTTCTGGACAGGTCATCTTGGATGTCTTCCAGGTTAGAAGTGAGCCCAGGTCTGGACATGGACTGAATTCAGAGTAAGCCAAACCCAGAGAAATCTGAGAGTGGGGGCAGTGACTAGATTGGTTGATCATCCTGTGCCTGCAGGCAGGAGTGGTGAGTGGCTGGGCTCAGAACCCCCCCAGGGGAATAAAAGTAAAAGGACAAACCACTATGGGGCTGCTGAGTGCTTCCAAAATGAGGTGCAAATAAAGAACCGGAAATTACTTGCTTTGGAGGCTGCCCCACAGAAGACTGGTCCAGGGCAGACTCATTTCATATTTAGCACGGTCATGTCTTCATTGCCTTCTGCTGATTATAAAAGTAATATATGCTTGTGGTAAAAGTTCATATAAGGACAGAAAAGTCTTCCACGGTTCCCACCCAAGATGTGACCTGATTTCCCAGGAAGGGTACAGGCTCAGCAAAGCTGGGGGTCATGGAAGTGCTTCTCAGGGTACCCGAGCTGCCTCTTGGACCGATGGAGACATTAACCCAACCAAAACCTTTCAAGGAAAAGACTTCATGTGGTTTTGACCTGAGAGTCCGCTCATTGAAAAATTCTGCCTCATCCTGCCTGGGGTCTCCTAGGCCCTCCTTCCTGACCTTGCCACTGGGAGTTCTGTCCTTGCAATGGCCAGAGGCTGGTGGCAGTGTCCAGAGGCAAAGTCGCCAAGCTTTTGCCCAGAGGATGGTGTTACCTCTTTAGAGTTGCTAGAGTTAATTGTTATGACAATTTAAAAAAACAAACAAGGTAGAGCAGGACCCATTGGCTTGGGAGGCTGAGACAGGAGGATCAGGAGTTCAAAGCCAGCCTCAGCAATTTAGGCTTTAAACAATGTAATGAGACCCTGTCTCTAAAAAAAAAAATGCAAAGTAGGGCTGGGAATGGGCTCAGTGGTCGAGTGCCCCTGAGTTCAGTCCTCCTACCAAAATAAATAAATAAGCAATAAACAAACAAACAAAACCACATGGTATAAGTATGTCCTGAGAATTTCCTGTAGTTAACCTGGCAACCCTAACCCTCCTCCCTACCAGAGGACTAGAGAGAGGGAATGTGCAGGTGTGCACTGTACATGGAATCCCTGCTCTCTCCCTCTCTCTCCCTAGTTGGTCCTAAGGTCATTAATCCTGGGATGTGGCTTCTGTTTCTATTGGTTTTTGGAAGAAACCTCTGGGTGGGGTGTCATTTGAAAACACAGGAGGTGACAAGGGCTGTAGTCTGTTTTTAGGTTAAGACTCCTTGACCAAAAAAGCAGCATTTGACATTGCTGATGTTAATTAATCTTTCTCTTCTCTCCTTCCCAAAGGTGGCCTTGAATTCCCTGGCCTTCTGTCTGGGCCTGGGGATTTGGGGCCTCCCCTCTAATCACTTTGCTCCTATCTGTTGCTTCTTTGATACATTGTTAACTCCTCTGGCCCCCTGGGCCTGTGTTCTCTCCTCCCCATCCTCAATTGGCTGCATCCTCCTGGACCCCTTACTCCGCTGAACTTGGTCTTGAACAGTCTGTTCTTCTTTTCCTAAACCTGTTCCCTTATAGGGCTCACCTGCCCTTGATACTACCAGCCTTTGTATTGGGTGGTTAAAAAAGCTGGCCTGGCCACGGGAAGTGGGTGGGCAGGATGGGAGCAGAGCTCACTTCCATCTCCTGTGTTAAGCTTTCCCCCAGTGCATCCACCGGAAAAGCTTGCACCAAGGTATCACTACTTCATAGACTAGTATGCAGTTAGATTTTTTTTTTTCTTTTTTCAGTTTGTTTTCTTTCTTTTTTTCCTTGGTACTGGGGATTGAACCCAGGGATGCTTTACCACTGAGCCACATCCCCAGCCTTTTTTATTTTTTGAGACAGGATCTTGCTAAATGGCTTAGGACCTCCCTAAATTGCTGAGACTGACTGGCCTTGAATTTGTGATCCTCCTGCCTCTGCCTGCTGAGCTGCTGGGATTATGGCTGTGCCCCACCACACCCAGCCAGATTTTCCAGTTTTAAAATCTTTGCTTATGGCCTCCCTGTTACAGTAGGTGATGATGATTGCTCTTTTGTCTACCTTCCACCACACATATTTTTCTTCCTCCCTCCCTCCTAGTTTAGTTAGAACATTTTATTGTTTTTGTTGAAACAGTATTCAGCGCTTAATGATCATGACTAAGTATATACTGTGTGTCACAACTGTTTCCCTTATTGGATGACTTTTCCTTTCCAGAAGTTACTAATTGCCTCATTTTTTAAACAAAACTTTCTTAGGTACCTATCACTAATTCATCCTCCAGTTCTCCAACAGAACCTGGGTTTGATCCCAGCCTTGCAAAATGAATAAATAAAGATAAAAAGTCGAATGACATTCTGATGCCTGGTCTTATATGAATGACATGGCTTTTCTCCCTGGAACTTTCTAGGTTCTTCCAGAGCTCTCAAGTTTCCTAGTGATGTATGTTGAGTATGGGCCCTTGGTGGGCCCTTTAATCGGGACATCGATTTCTTTTAGTCTTGGAAATCAGTTTTGCGGGGGATCTCTTTGTGCCTATTTCCTCCACCCCATCTTCTCTTTTCTGTTTTTTCCTTTCAGATCTATTTTAGGTGGATATCTTGAATTCATCTTCCAGTTTTTCTAAAATGTTCTTTCTAATTTTCCATTTTAAAAAGTTTGTTCTATTTTCTGGGACATTACCTCAACTTTGTCTTCCAGATTTTCTGTTAGATTTGTGCTGGGGATAAAACCCCGGGCCTCGGGCTGGGGATGTGGCTCAAGCGGTAGTGCGCTTGACTGGCATGAGTGCGGCCCGGGTTCGATCCTCAGAACCACATACCAACAAAGATGTTGTGTCTGCCGAAAACTAAAAAATAAATATTAAACAAAACAAAACAAACAAAAAAAAAAAACCCGGGCCTCAGCTTGCAAGGGTCTGACACTTAGCTATGTCCCTGGCCCACATCTTTTTTATTTAAAGCCCCCGCCACACACACACCAGGGATTGAAACCCAAGGGCGCTGAGCCACATACATTCCCCACCCCTTTTTATATTTTTATTTAGAGACAGGGTCTCACTGAGTTGCTTAGGACCTCACTAAGTTGCTGAGGCTGGCTTTGAATTTGCGATCCTCCTGCCTCAGCCTCACGAGCCACTGGGATTACAGGCATGTGCCACCATGCCCAGCAAAAGTCTTTTTATGAGACAAAAATTTTTCACTTCTAAAACCAATTTCTTATTATTTTTATTGCTGCCAATTCTTATTTCATGGATTTACTCTAATGTCTCTGAGAATATTAATTATAATTTAATGGTGGTAAGATAATATAACATATAATTTCTTATTTCAGCCTTTTTTTTTTTTTTTTAATTTGATACTGGGGATTAAACCCAGGGATGCGTTACCACTGAGCCAGCATTTTTATTTTATTTTGAGACAGAGTCTTGCTAAATTGCTAAAGTTGGCCTTGAACTTCTGATCTTTCTGCCTCAGCCTCCTGAGTTACTGGGATTACAGGCCTGTGCCACTATGCGTGGGTGGCTTTTTGCTGTTTTTAAGTATACATCTTTTTTTTTTTTAAGAGAGAGAGAATTTTAATATTTATTTTTTAGTTTTCGGCGGACAGAACATCTTTGTTTGTATGTGGTGCTGAGGATCGAACCCGGGCCGCACGCATGCCAGGCGAGGGCGCTACCACTTGAGCCACATCCCCAGCCCTTAAGTATACATCTTAATGCTGCTAAATACATTCACTTTTCTGTGCAACCAACTTTTTCATCTTGTAAACTGAAACTCTATGCCCATTAAACAAAAATTCCTCATTTTTCTGTCTCTGTAACCCTTAGCAA